TGTAAGAAATTTGCTAAATCGCCCATTCGTACGGATTGTTTGATCATTTTGCATTCTTGTTGGAACTTTGTCCTTCTTGTGGCAGTGACTTGGTCACTCACTTGGCATGCCTCTTAATTCGGATCTTTTGCCATCTTGACTTTGGATTTGTAGTTCGTCTTGAATTATGGAACTTGTCCGTGTTAAGTATGAACTAGGAAGCCATTTTTAATATGGTTCTTGATTCTCTTGTCTATTGGGTTTTGACCCTACTTGATTTGGGGCTTCGGTCCATCTTGATATCCGATTATGCTTAGTGTGATGGCATGACGTACATATTGGGCGAAAAATGGATATTGGTATACTTCCTTAAATTGATAGTATACACTTTCTAGACTCTTGAACATTGTTATTGATATTTGGAAACACTTCAAAGTTTGATATTGATATGTTTGATATATTTGTTCACTTGTTTTAAATTATGTTAAATTGAGCTAACTATGACTGAAAAGGGGAATTGGAGAATTTAATGACTCCAAGCCTAAAGTTTATACACCACTAAGCTTTATGCTTAGCGATAGTTGTTTTCTATCGTAGGAAATGTTCGGGATGAAATCTGAAGATGGCCAGGGTGAAGTAGTCTCTTTGGGAGAATTTATGGAGATCACATTTGCATATGCACCTTGGTTTGCATAGTTTTGGGACGTGTACATGATATACATGATATATATATATGTCACACTTATGTTATTTGGAGGCTTGTTGGATTTTAAAGACCAAAATCTTGTAGCTTGAATTTGTAACCTATTTTATTGTATTAGGGTGTTTTAATAACTCAAGTCTTGTAATATGCTGAATTTACACTTTCTCTTGTAAATATGTAGAAAAGGAGAAAACTAGTTTCCTTTGTTTTTTATATATACCCGATAGTTTGAAATTTATGTACAATATAAACTTGCGGTGATTTTGAATGATTGTATAAATCAGTTAGGACGTTGCTTTAATCTGTTAATGTTTTGACATTATATTTCATTTAAAATAAAATTATGGTATATTTTAAAAATATATATATATATATATTGCACTTTCAACCTTTTCGCATGGGCCTACTTCTGCTACTAAAATTATTCTAAATATTTTTATTAATATCTCTTTTAATATTTTGTAAGTAGGAAATTAGATTTGTTTTCCTAAGTAGTATCCTCCCAAAGGGGTTGCTACAAGTTTTGGTATCAGAGCCACGATTTATGATTCTAGGATTTGTTTTGTTGTGATAGTACCTAGTATTTGTTGTTATTCCCTTTCTTTAAAATGACTTAGAGTTTATAAATTTTTGCATACTTGTTTAATTTAATTTATTGTATTTTGTGTGCATATGCATCATGTACATGTCCCTAATGCAGTGTGATCTTATCTTTTATAGAATTTTTAATATGGCCTCTTCTTCGAATAGAGTTGTTGAATCCGTTGATGAAAGTCAGGCTCAGTATAATGCCATGCCTCACCTTCAGGGAGGAAATGAGGAACCCTTGCCTGACCTAAATCATCCTCGTGTTAGTGGAAATGAAATGGGCAGTAATCCAAGAGCAATGAGTCATAATACTCCATTTATGACTCCCCCATTCCAGCAGATGGCTGAATTCTTTCGTCACTTAGCTGGGACAATGTCAGAACCTAGTGAAATGAATTTTGAGAAGATGAGAAAAATGGGCGGAGTTGAATTTGAAGGCACTACAGATCCCACGGTAGCTGAACAATGGCTCGAGCGCATGGAGAGGGTCTTTGAACAACTGGAGTGTACTAATGCTGCCAAATTTAAGTATGTTATCTCTCTTTTACAAAAAGATGCCTATGATTGGTGGGTGAGTGTGCCAAATGCAAAAGCAAAACCTTCGGTGCTGACTTGGGATGACTTTGTGAAATCATTTCGTGCAAAATATGTTCTCCCTGTCTATTGTGATGCTAAAAAGAAAGAGTTTCTGAATTTAAGACAAGGGAATATGTCTATTGCAGAATATCAACAAAACTTTCTCAGGCTTTCTCACTATGCTAAAGGTATTATTGATGGTGAAAGAGACAAGTGCGGAAGATTTGAATGGTTACATTCGAAAATCAGTGGCAATCTTACAACTTGATGATTTTTCCAAGCTGATTTCAGCTGCACTTACTTGGGAAAGAATTGACAAGGAAGAAGCTAGTAGGAGAGAAAACAAGTTTAGGAAGGGTAATTCAGAATATGGCGGTCCATCCAAAAAGGGAAAGTTTGACTATTCCAAGACCGAGAGTACACATAAATCATTACATCATAAGCAGAATAAGTCAAATTTTTCTACTGCCAGTACTCCAAGTTATGGCCAAGGCAAAACTCATACACCTACTTGT